TCAGCTGCCAAAACTTGTATAACTTCCTCTAGAAGATTCGGAATCATGAACCGTAAAATGCTCCAGAAACTAGACTTCCACATCTTTCCAATGATATAGGGTTCATCATCTGGTTATTCCTGAGCTAGTACAGTCCAATCCGTGAAGTTGACTTATCTGCACACACCATTTTGAGCTAACTTGACTCCAAAATGCATTAAATGAGTCCCAAAGCTTAATACACTTAACACAAAGATAAAAAAGATTAAAAGCACAAGTTTAACTCAAAAACATAACCAAATCATAAGTTAGAAGAATACAAAATGATATGTAATTATGAACTGATCAAAGGTGTGCACTATTGTCATAGATGGTGGAAGCTGTGAAAACATTGTCTCCAAAGACATGGTGAACAAATTGAAACTCGATACTCAGCCACATCCAAAGCCTTATTGGATCTCTTGGTTCAAAACGGTAATGAGGTAAAAATCTATAAACAGTGTCTAATCTCATTATAGGGGCAAAAATGATAAGGACCAAGTCTGGTGTGATGTAGTGCTAATTGAAGTGTGTCACATACTTTTGGAAGGGCCACGGCAATATGATAGGGAGGTTGTCCATGATGGGCATAAACATACTTACGCTTTTAAGATGGGAAAAGTGGAAATTGTTCTTTTTCTTTGCAACGAAGAATTGAGTCGTGCATCTCCTCAAGTGGAGGGTAATAATTTTCTCACTTTGTCTGAATTTGGGAAGGAAAGTGAAGAGAGTGGCATTGTTTACATGCTAGTCTCTAATGAAAATGTGCAGATCTCCGAGGCACCAGGTGTGGTACATGCTCTATTGGAAGAATTCAGTGATGTTTTACCTGATGATATCCCAAGTGGGCTTCCCCATCTTAGAGATATCCAACGCAAAATTGACTTAGTTCCGGGAGCAAGTCTTCCTAATAAAGCTCATTATCACATGAGCCCTAAGGAGCATGAAGAATTTAAGAGGTAGGTTCTAGAGCTCTTAAGCAAAGGCTATATCACAGAAAGTATAAGCCCATGTGCAGTCCCAGCTTTACTCACACCAAAGAAGGATGGAACTTGGTGTATGTGCGTCGATAGTCATGCAATTAATCGGATTACTATCAAATACCGATTTCCAATTCCAAGGATTGAGGATCGGCGACATGTTTGATATGTTCGCTGGTGCAAAAGTGTTTTCTAAGATTGATATTCAAAGTGGACATCACCAAATTCGCATCAAACCTAGTGATGAAGGGAAGACCGCATTCAAGACCCACGAAGGACTTTACAAATGGCTTGTTAGGCCGTTCGGACTTCAAATGCACCCAACACATTCATGTGTTAAAGAATCAAGTCTTTCATCCTTATGTTGGTAAATTTGTTGTCATATACTTTAATGACATTCTTATATATAGTAAGGACAAAAATGAGCTTATTGCACATTTGAGAGTTGTTCTAACGACTATAAGAACTGCAAAGCTTTATGTAAACCTCAAAAAGTATTCTTTTGTGAGGAATAGCCTAGTTTTTTGGGGCTTTGTACAGACCCCTGCAGGAATTAAAGTTGATAATGAGAAGATCCAAGCTATCCAAAATTGGCCAATACCCAAAAGCTTGGAGGAAGTCAAAAGTTTCCATGGATTAGCTTCATTTTATCAGTGATTCATACGAAATTTTAGCACCATTTCCGCTCCCTTGACTTTTCGTATGAAGAAAGGAGTGTTCGTTTGGATGCTAGAAGCTAAAAAAAGTTTCCATATTGTCAAAAAGAAGTTGTCCAGTGCCCCCCTACTTTTTATACCAGATTTTGAGAAAATATTTGAAGGCAATTGGGACGCCTCGCACGTGGGCAAATGGGGAGTCCTCATCCAAGAGGGACATCCAATTGTTGATGTAACATCCCACATCAACCAACGGAGAGGGGGTGATGTGCCTTATATGTAAATGTCTGCCTCCATCTAGCACGAGGCCTTTTGGGAGCTCATTGGCTTCGGAGTCATGGGAACTTCGAAGTTAAGCGAGTTGGAGCTAGAGCAATCCCAGGATGGGTGACCCACTGGGAAGTTGCTCATGAGCTCCCAGAAACAAAACCTTGAGGGCAGAGAGGGGGGCCCAAAGAGGACAATATCGTGCTATGGCAGAGCAGATCCTAGGATGTGACAATTTGGTATCAGAGCCACTTTGTCGTGTGGTGCGAGTGTGCCAACGAGGACGTCAGGCCCCTAAAGGGGGTGGATTATAACATCCCACATCGACCAACGGACAGGGGGTGATGTGCCTTATATGTACATGCCCGCCTCCATATTCAGAGCAATGTTCTCTTCTTCATTCTTTCTCTGTGATTTCTTCCTTCCTCCCAAACATCCAAAATATTCAAAACTATGAATTCTTGAATGTCCCTCCAAGTCTCTCAAGAAGGTAACAACATTTGAAGCTTACACTGGCAGAAAACCAGGTATCGCACACTTGAGATTTTTGGATCTCCTTGCCATGTGCACATCCCTTCAGCACTAAGACATAAACTTGAAGAAAACAGCCACAAGTGTATCTTTGTGGGTTATAGAATATGTGAAAAAGGGTACAGACTATTTGATCCAAAATCTAGAAAGATTATTCTATCTAGAGATGTACATTTTGATGAAGATGCTTCATGGAATGGGAGAATACTGGTGCAAGAGAAATGAAAGTGTCTATGCCTACTGAAAATCAAGGCTATGAATCAAGTCAAACCTTCGAACCATCAACTCAAGTGGACGGAGGTACTACACTACAAGATGAGGAAATACTTGAAAGCTCGCAAGCTATTGACCACACACCAAAGAAATGGAAAAGTATCAACGAGATCATGGATCAGTGTAATATGTGCATAGTGGAACCTGAGAATTTTGAACAAGTTGATCTAGATAAGTCATGGAGAAAGGCAATGGAAATTGAGTTGGAAATGATAGAGAAGAATAATACTTGGCAGCTTGTTGAGAGACCGTTTAATAAACTTGTCATTGGTGTCAAGTCGGTCTATGAGACCAAACTTAATCTAGATGGTACTGTGCAGAAAATAAGGCTCGATTGGTGGCTAAAGGCTTCTTACAAAAGCCTGGGATTGATTACAATGAAACCTTTGCCCTAGTGGTAAGGTTAGACACCATTAGAACCTTGATTGCTCTTGCTGCACAGAAGAAATGAAACTTGTATCAGCTAGATGTTAAGTCTCGTTCCTCAATGGGGAATTAAAAGAAGAAGTGTATGTTGAACAACCACAAGGTTTTGTGAAAGAAAATGAAGAAACAAAGGTGTACAAATTGCACAAGGCATTGTATGGATTGAAACAAGCACCAAGGGCCTGGTATGATGAAATAGATGCATACTTCAACAGTGCTGGTTTCAAGAAAAGTTCAAGTGAAGCAACTTTGTATGTTAAAACAAGTGAGAATTCAGGTATTATTATTGTCTCCCTATATGTAGATTGTGGGAACCGAATTAAATCACCCTTCCATTTGGGGATTATTTGACCTAATTGGAAATTAATCAACCTAATTGGGAGTTACTCAATTTAATTGGGGATTACCCAATTAAAT